CGTTTGCCAATATCCCTTTTCAAAATAAATAAACTGTGTCGGATGGTGGACAGATGTAGTGTTGGCGTCGTCGGGGTCGGTGGGAGATGAAGGGAGTTGAGGTCAAATGTCAGTGTCTAGGCAGACCGGCGGCCATGATTAGTAATAAGGTGCACACGGTTAAGCAGGGGACTTGTACGTCTCCGGAGGGACCCGTTTCTGAAGCCGGGTGTAAGCCGTGTGTGGTTGTGTTATCGACTTTCGTTCATGGTAACTACTCCGCTTTTACAAAGTTCTTTTGAGCGCACAGTCCCGGTCGGCGTAGCCTGATGGCAAGTGCTTCTGCTATAGCCGACTGACGCTTTCCAAGTTATTTTGAACTGCTGGAGGGCACTCTGTAGATCACTCGGAAAGCCTCTCTGGCATCCACGCAATGGTGTAAGTCTACCTTGCAGGCTCAATTAAAACTATTAATGCTCTTTACTTGGCCCTGCTCTAATCATTCCGGAGGGTGTTCACGTACTCTTTTGGACAGACGCCGGTTCGTAGGACCAATATGTTATTCTCAAAGGCACGGGTGAATAGATGGATGCGCATATAGGTGGTCTGGGCTGGCAGTTTGGCCTTTGTCTTTTGATATTTACTATGGAAATTCTTGCAAATGTAAAACACTTCATTGTGGGAAATTATAGCGAACACGGTCCTTCTTCGTCCAAAATACGATCGTTTTAGTGCATGCATATCTCGTGCGGGATATGGGGGACACTGTTGACTCAGTCCAGTGCCCTCGAAACCAATCACATGGTAACTAGTAATCGTAAGTGACAGAACAGGGGCGCTGGGCGCAAAAACGCCCCCTGACCAAATAACTGGAAATGAACCTTCAGTTTACACAAACCTGCGTTTGGGTATGGCTGACTGATGAACAATGCGATCATGGAAGGTCCATCCCGTTTTTCCTAGACTTTTCGGTAACCCCATCTGGGTATTCGTTGCTGTTCACAAGGTACTAACATTGTACTGAGCCCCGACAGGGTTTTGACGATGTTTGCCGTCGAGAAGAAGACGATTGGATCGCTGGGACAACACTTTTATTTGCCTGACGTTTCGAGATCCGTCGCAGATTTTTCAGCAGAAAGCTGACCCCTTTGATGTTTACCGTCTGCCAAACAGCAGGGTGGTACAAGGGTAGCGTCTTGTACTGTAGTTATAGTGAGCGTACGCTTGTGTTGCAGCTATCGGTTCCACTCTCCCCCCTGAGCCACGTGTCAAGGCGGGTCAAGAAGAGCGGACTATGGGCTAACTTAACCAAGAAGATTATAACAATATTGGGGATTGCCAGCATTCCAGCTGACTGGGAGTGTCGCACTGAGGAGCCATTGCAGTTGGACTCTGAGTCCGCCAGCCAGCCAGCCACTCCACACAACACAAAACGCATTTCAGAGTGGACTGACCACCACTCCAAGTTTTCCTGGCAGCTGGCAACGTTCCAAGGCACGCCTTTAGTGCACCGTGAAAGCGCCTAAAGCGCGTCAGACCATCTGCATTGACAAATAAGTGTTTCATACCAGGATTCTACGCTAGAAGTACCTACTACTAGGATAGCAACATTTTGGATGAACAATCTGGACATCACTGCATCGCAAAAACTCGCGAACAGAGATTAGGCAGAACGAGGATAGTTACGCTAATTAAACGAAGTGCAAATTTTGTCCTGTTATATGTAATGCACAATGAAAACACCAAAAGGACATAAGCGTTGAAAGCATCAACAACCACCGAAAGATTTTCTTGCATTGCCCACAAAGATAGAAGCTTTAAGTCCCCCTTGCAAGGGGCATTTGACTATCGCAACCGTGAATGATGACCTGGAAGCCAGTTACGTCATGCATAGCCTTTGCCAACCTAATAAATAATCCATAAAGTTCCATAAAAAGCGTTCTTTTGTGCTACGGCAGCAAGACACCAGCAGCCAAAATTACACAGCGGTTGCAGTGTTTTGGCACTCATCGAAACCCACGCGCTTTGGGTATCCTTGTTTATCATATTTGCCACACACAGCCAGTTATCTTGCTAGTACCCAGACTGAACAGAAGAGCCATGCTCGTGGACATTATGCCGACTGCCTACAACAGTTTCCCAAGTAGAGGCGTGTGTCAGCGCCTTGTACACATACAGAGTGTCCCAAAAAATGTAAACACCCTTTAAGTAATTGTAAACTTGGTGTTTATTATAATTTTATTATTTCAAAATGAAAACATACATTTACAAGTATCATTGTATTGTTTTTTCACTGTATTTTGAGTATTGCAACAGTGGCTGAATTGAGGGAAGCCATTGAACATGAATGCATCCGAATACCAAAGGAATTGTTCCATGGTGTGTGTGATTCCATTGCTTCGCGCTGTCAGCAGTGTCAGTCTGAGAACATTCAGTGCAAGGACAATAAAATGATACTTGTTAATATTTTTACATTTTTAACTAGTAAATTATGAAAAACAACAATTTTACAAGATTGGAAAGTGTGTATACATTTTTGGGACACCCTGTATCTGTGAGGTCAAATAAAAGGGCAATGTGTTAGCCAAGAACTGGCAGGCCTTTACGCCCAATGGACAGTGACAGCTTTTTTGAGACTTTTGCTATCCAGGCCAGAAGGTTGCTCATTAGGCCCAACTGCTTTTCGAAGTCACCCAACTTCCACGTGATGTTTCTCAACTCAAAAGCCATACAGGCTTTGTTAGTAGGACAGTTATTAGGGCTGTAATAGGGAGTAGGATTGATAACAGTCTTACTTGGCTACTGGATGTGAACACTCGTCCGGTGTCTTACAAACCAGCCTGGGCGAAATTAGGTCACGCGTAAGCTCATATTCCCATCTTTTATGTTTGTTGCAAAAACAGGATACATGTCAGCTATTGATACAATTATAGGAATATATTACTAGAATATACTATTCGCTGGTCCTAGTATGATTACCAGAGTTAGCACTCCTAACAGTGGCATATTACCTCTAGCAGCAGTATCCTAGGCCAAACTTGGTAAAATGTGACAACTTTTGGTGGACAGAGGTGAGAGGGCCTCAAACGTGTATTTACTCGGTGTAGCATAAACTCAGCTTCACACTACCTGCTGGGATCGAGGGTATATGAGTTGACGTTCTATAGAGTCCAAGCTACAGAAAGATACCGAAGTAGGCCTATAGGTTGTCTATAGACGGCAAACTTTACGACATGAAGGCATGATAGGACATGTACTATTATTTCATAATGCTCTATTTAATCCATAAGCTGACCACATTACCTCATATAGATTAAGAGTGCACTTTAGCATAGGTGGGGAAAACGACCGACAAATGCAACCGTGAATGCGTGAGCATAAGCTGGCTGTAAGAAGGCTGGACCCAAAGTCTGGAGTAGCAACCCATTCTGCAGGAATGAGGCACGACTTCAACAATGACGCGGTTGAAATTGTGGGTCAAGTTGATGATCACACATCAAGGCACATTAAAAAAGCTTGGATGTCGACTGGCTGTTCAGTAAACCGTCACATAAATTTACCGGTCCTCCGTACTATTTTAAGAACCTTCTTATCCGGGGACAGACATGACATGGAGCAGTCGGGGCCATCAGCGGCCATCGTGTTTAGGCCTGAAAAAATTGGGGCGCGACGGGGTACAACGGAACGAACGCACGTGAGGGCGAAACCAAAAGGCGCGGCACGGTGACAGACAAGGTAAACAAGGAGGCAGAAGGCGAGGCGCGAAACTCACACAGTGACTCAGCTATGATGGGTAGAACACACGCACGGAAGAGAGAACAGCATAAAGACGAGGACCATGAGCCAGAGTGTCTATTCTCTGAGGATGAGTAGATGAGGCAACTCCCCGAAAAGTCAGGCTTATAATAAACTTCTCCCTGTGAATGCTTCTTCTTATTTGCTACCTGGGAATCGAATTTTTGGCAGTATTACTGCGATATATCTGTTACTGTGCACACAATCAACCCAAGTCTTCTAAAGTAGAACTTGGCACCAATTGGAAACCTAACCAGTGATACCTGTCCTAATCCTACTGAAATTTTCGGTTATTATATTCAGGTGTATAACCGATGGGGGTCAGCTTTAGCTAAGGAGACTACTTTAGTCCAAAAATTGTCCCCTTTCCCGCTATAGACGATGCACAAGTTGTTTTCGCCTTAAGTATCCTGATAGTCTGAAAACGACCGCCAACTTAACGCAATTTTATAGTTGTTCTTGCTGTCAGGTTTCGTGTTCATCCCTGACAGTCTGCACACTACTGAAATTTGTAGATGCAATGCAAAGAAAGAGTAAATCTGTTATCCCTGGACTGTGATGAAAATTCAAACTTTTATTTTCAATTTGAGAATATTATATGAGTATTTCTGTTATAGTGTTCGTCCTGCAACATACTACTAAGATATTTCAGCCACGGCAGGACGCTGACTTCCAAACAAGCTCCTCACCGTTTTCCGATAGCCTTACGAAGTTAAATTTATTTTATAAAATCATGCACACATATAGTGTTTTTTTTTGAAAATTTCTCGCGGAAGGGCTCATTTCCAGTTTTAAAAATATCTTTAATTCGCGGTTTATTGTAGTCCTGACCTACCGTAACACCTGTATTTAGGGTTTAAGGAACACGTTAGGTATTAACTCTGTCTAAGGAAAATGAACTGGTTCTTTTCAGTACTAGGAAGCTGGCTTAAAGAGTGCTTAACAAATCTGAAAGTGTCTCTGGCCCGTATCCTTTCTCAGCACTGTAAGCAGCCTGCAGGTTAGATGCTTTCTGGATAGACACTGCACGGCTCTAATGCATTTCGTAATAGCAAAATCTCAAAAACAAAAAGAAGCCCTTTGTTCAGGATAACATTTACAGACATAACTTGTTGTCAACCATTCATACAAAAACGTATTCTTATGCATGGTTTCCATGACGCATATATTCGGGTTTATAATGTCATTGAAAATAAATGGGATAATTTCGTATTATACAAGTTTTAGCAGGCCACTTGTAAAAATCTCATAATGAAAGAGGTATCCTCTTGTGACTGAAATATCTGGAGATTAAACTGCAAGATAACTGACATAAAAAGCCTAAACAAGTAATGTTTTTGAAGTAAAAAGCACGTTTCGGTGATTAAATTAACAAGCGAATAACATTATTGTCCTTAGGATCGCGCCTGCCAGTCCTCTTCAGTCGCTTTAATTGAATATTTTTATCATGATTCAGGCGTTTTTATGGAATTCTACCGTCGTGAGAGCATACATGCATTACCGAACATGGTCTGTCTCACAGGTCTACAAAATGGAGTTTTAATATGAAGGACTGACATTTACTTGGCTAGGTAAACAACTATCGGAAACTGGTAAACCCAAACTGCTTTAATTATAAAGCATTTTTACTAAAATACGCGTGCTGAGGGCTCTCATAAGATGCACTTTTATGTGAGAATGTTACTTAGTTTCTTGTGCTGATTGCAGTTCACAAATTGGTGCTTCAGCTTGAAGCCCATTCTTGGTACCACTCATTCTCCCCTGGAGTCCGTTTATTCATTTTGGGCCAAAAATTGAGGTTTAAATCTGCCTAGCTACTGACCGCTTACATGTCCGAAATAGCCATTCAGATATTCTCGCTTGTACTGATTATTTTCAGACTTCGATGCAAGCCATGTCTTCGTTTTAAGCTTTCATATACTTGAAGCTTAAAGAGGTCGGACCTATAAATATTAAGTAATCAACGCCTCCCTGAGGGTTGCTCCTATAGCTAGTTCTACACTTCTATGGTAATGAAAGTAGGCCTCGCAGTTAAACTGTTTCCCCACGACGAAGAGCGTTTCGAACCCTCTTACACTCTAACCAACATGATGCCCCTATCACGCGCACATTCTCTTCCAATGGGCAACAGTTATTTTCTTCTAAAATATCAACGACTCCCATTCAATTTCCTATTGTTTTCGAAATATGCCCAAGACGTTTCTTTTCACTGTATGCTCTTTTTGCCTCTGGTTCACCTTAGGGGGTTTGTCTCATTTGGCATCGCCAATAAGCTGAAGTGCTACTGTAGAAGTAACAATTGCACAAGATTGTTATTTCCTCAAAGCGTTCGTGTGACTATTTATCGAGAAAAAATATGTCACAGCTGCCTTGTACTTGAGGCTACAGGCGAATGCTTACTCGGGCAATTTGTCAACCAGATTATATGCAAACGGGATAAGAAACCACATTCAACTGGCCCAAAAGTTTGGCGAGCTCTTCCGGACGTGAAGAATGTATCGGAAGCAGTCAGCCACCTACTTGGAGTTGGAGTTGCGCACAGGCCAGAAGCAACGATCAGGCGGCGGGTCATGAGGCCGAAAGACCCACTGTCACAGCAGAAAACGGCTGGAGTCGTTTTCCGGATCTGGCGCAGTTGTGGACAAAGTAACTGCGTCGGAGAAACTGAAAGATTACTCCGGAAACGAAGGGCCGAGCACTCAGTGGCGGTGAGGAAGAAAGACGCTAACTCCCAGGTTACAGCTCACTCGACGGGACTCGGCCATATTTTCAAGTTAGGTGAGGCCGAAGTCCCCGCAAGAAGTGACAACTGCATGACCCGCGAGCTGCTCGAGTCATGGTTCACAAGCCCACAGTCTATCAACAACCGCAACGATTCGTCGTCCCCATACTGCGTACTGATACGTTGTCTAAGCAAGGGAATCAGTCACGTGGGGAGGGGGGCGGGCCCAGCAACACAATTTACGACAGTGACTATAATCGTCGCGTAGTTATTAAGCCTGCATCCGACAAGGACAACTAAATCACGGCAATTAATGACTCGAAAACGAAGTGTCAAGACATCACCGCACCAATTATGACCTCAAGCGGTGGCTACAGGAGCGGATAATTATAGTACGCACGCGAATGACCGCTAAGAACTATAAATACCGTGCAATCTGTGCATGTATCATCACAATCTGCGCATGTCTCATAATATCCTACGGTTACCTCTGATGAAGGATTTTCAACAGCATCTGAAACGTCAGGAAAATAAAAGTCTTGTTCCACTGATCACACCTTTTTCTTCTTCTTCAAGCGGTGGCTACAGGAGCTGATAATGATAGTGCAGATGCGGTTGGCCGCTACGAACAATAAATAACGCGCAGCCTGTGCAAACATCAAATCATTATGCGGTTACCTTTGATTAAGGATTCTGGACAGAAACCGAAACATCAGGCATTACAATTTCTTGTTCCAGTGATCGCATCTTCTTCTCCTGAACTGCTTCTTGAAACCCATATCTTGGCTTTTAAGACTATATGCTTACAACAGTTTGATATTCTAACGTGCATATAAAAAATGGGGATTTCACACCTATATTTTCCTGTAATAGGATTGACTGAACCCTGTGCTATTTGTCTTCCTTGCAGGACTACTTGGAAGTCTTTGAAATCTTGGATGAGCGTCCTCTTGGCAACGGCATGCTGCCGAATTTGCTGACTAGTGCTCACGTCGCCAGGGGCACCGAAAACATGGCCTGGGACGAACAGATGTATCATATCTCCGCCGATGCCGTCGCCTCTAGCTTCCCCTCTTCCTCCTCCACCTCCCATCAGGATATCCTCTATATGCGACAGTTTATAAGCGCACATCTTTTTTGCGGATCCCGCGTACCCGGTCCTATTGTCCCCAGCAGACCCTCCAGCCCCCTGGCTCTGGTCTTTCGCAGCGATAACGAAGGCACGGGCCTGGGCTTCCAACTGAACTTTCGGTTCATCCCCCAGCACCGACTGAGCCCCGCTTCACATTCCATGCCAGGTAGAAAAATGCAAATGCCCCCCGCCCCCCCCCTTATCTCTAAAATTATCAATCATTTTTGGTAGTAATTCATCAATTCAACTCGGAAGCTAAAATTGCAATAAGCGCCTTATTTTATGAACTTTAAAATAAAAATATCTTCTGTAATGTGCATAAGGACAAGCCCATTGCCGATACAAACAAAGGTGAACTCCCGGCAGTGAAGAAGAGAGGAGGGGTTGTTGGAATGAGAATCACATTCATTCAACAAGTGCGAGCAGCATTCTCTCTGAACGACATTCGTTTGGCAAAGGAAGGTTGTTCTGTAATTGCTAATTCACCCAACGAATTTGATTTCTTTGAGAGTGATTGCTTGCTCGACTAATCTGCATCGAACGACGATATTAGGGAGATTTGAAGGCAATGATAATTTTGTGTTTTTAGTCGCTTTTTTACCCTCAAATGCTTACATGCGCCCCTTTTGGCCGTGAGGTCTCGGCTGATGATATAATTTAAGCAGAATTACTAAATTAACTTTGTTTATATTACTCCTTTGGGACCGGTCATGAAACGGAAATTTTGATTTAACTCTGCCTCAGCCTCCCATCCATTGTCTACCTACAGAGACCTGCTACGATATGGAACAGTACAACGACATAATAATGCGACGTTTGCTGACAGAAGCAAACAGAAGACTTTCAGGAAGCAGTTCAGATGTAGAAGAGCCGATCGCTGGAATAAGAAGTTTATTTGCCTGACGTTTCGTATTCTGTCTTGAACACTTCATCGGAGGTAACCACAGCGTAGGGTGAAACATGCATAGATTACGCAGTATTTATAGATCGTAGTGGCTACGAGTCCGCATTTGTACTATATTAAGCAGCTCCCGTTATCACATCTGGGGATCGCATTTGGTGAGATGATGGATTGGCAAGTCCCTTCCGAGTCATTAATTGTCGTGATTTTGTCACACGTGTTGTCTGCCCGGTCATTCGCGTCCGGAGAAATCGGGAGCTTTCTCCGAATGTCTACCCGCGCAATTTTACCAACGAGTGCATACGAAAATGAGAAAAGGAACCAAATCCAACCGGCCCTAAAGTTTGTAGAGCTTTAAAGAATTATCGGAAGTAGTCAGCGGCCTTCTTACTCAGCCTGGCCGGAAGCAACCATCAGTCGTCGGGTCATGAGACCGAAAGACCCACTGCCACGGCAGGAAACGGCTGGAGTCGTCAACCGAATCTGCTGCAACTGTGGACAAAGCAGGTTGCAGCTCACGCAACGGGACCCGGCCATATTTTCAAATCTTACGGGGCTGAAATCTTCGCAAGGGGTGACAACCGCATGAGCCGCGAGTCATTGTTCGCAGTCCGTCAATCACCCCAAAGACTTGCCGTTCCCATTTTTCGTAATGTGACTATGCTTGGACAGAGGACTCAGTCACGTGATGCGGAAGCGGGCCAGCAACAAGTTCGGTGAAATCTAGCTCAATTAATGACTCCGATGTGGACTGCCAAGCCATCATCGCGTCAATCATGACCCCTAGCATGGGTCAGGAGAGCTGCTAACTTTAGTACATATATGGTGCTACGGCCGCTACGGACTATAAATACTGCGCAACCATCACCCTTTTCTGGGGTTACCTCAAACGATGGTTTCTAACCGCAAAATGTCGGGCAAATAAACCTCTTGATTCAGCTATCACATCTTCTACTTCTGAAATGCGACGGTTGTAGGTTACGAACCTTGACATCGTCCAGCCTTGTGAACCCAGGGGCGGCGATTTCTGCCTGAATTAGTTAACCATGAAGCATATTTGCGATGCATCTACCGCATACTCACCCCTTCCCTTTTAAATTTTGCTTCGATGGCAAAACAATGCCTAGACGACCGGAAGAGAGCATAGGCACAGTGGCCTACAAAACTAAACAGCCCGACGAAGTATTCCACACCCATGACTTATTCCCCATGCTAGGTGGTTTGGCTCATGGTTAACGAAGATGGTAGGAGTTATTGCAGCATGACTCTCAGTGCTGAACCGGACGTAGTAAGGCCGTCGGTTATCAGTCTGACAAGCTACGGCGACCAATTAGACATACGTAAGCATCAAATTAACTTTCATTCCCTAGAAAACCAAATGTTGTTTAACCTACAGTGAGACTTCAATATGCTTTGTTTTGTTGGTTGAGAAACTGCTAATGTCAGTGTATCACGTCTTGCGTTCGTTCAGGCTGCGTGCATTTCTTTATTGTCTTTCTCAGGATAAAAAAGCTTTACATTTTAATCAAAGGTTCAGTCGATTTTTATGTTTGCAGTGTGCAGACCCATGAATAATTTTTTTTAATTTTAATTGTTTCTTTCATTGCTTACGGCTTTTTAGCTGGTT